TGTAGGCATAGAAAGCTCGGTTGGTTCGAGAGGGAGTCGACCCCCGGGATTTGAACTCCAGGCCACGCTTGTATGAAATAGCGCCACTTGCCACAGCACTACCTCCGCTCAAGCGAATTTTTGATATTATTCCTCCATCACTCTATATCGTTAGCTTTTCATCCTTACACTGATGTTTTAAGAAGAGAATACAAAGCTTAGAACAAATGAAAGCTCCTTTCAAAGCTCAAGTTTTTTTCGCGCTGTACAGTTTGTGAGATGTGTAGCGGTTCGGTACACAGTTGTGATTCGCTAGTCCAAGTCAGCTTTCTTCAGGATTCTATGAGTACTTGTGTGAACCGTTTTAAGTTGCACTTCCGGCCTTGAAGAAAGGGAAGATGCCCAAACGTGAGGGCGAGTAAAAGTTAAACTCCCTGGGAAGGCTTATGAAAACACATTTGCTTCCATTCTATACCTCCATTCGAAACCCTACTACGAGAACTGCGGAGAAAACTGCTAAACTACGAGAAAGTCGACCGCGGTCCTGTTTGAGCCATTCGCGGTACAGAGATGAACATTTCGTTCACTCACGATCAGGGTGTAAGAGATGCCAGAAATGCCTACAAATGGAATTCCACATAACTGTAGTCGTTTTTCCTCAGATTCCTTTGTCCTCTTACATAGTGCGGCTACTATCCGTCACTATCAGGGATGTGGAACCGGTTACATACATTTTGCTAGCCGTTCACTTTTAGCACGTGTTCCAACTGTTTTCCTCTCTGTCAATCCCGTTTAATCGGGCAGTTAACAGAGATGCATACAATACGAGCGCTTCTTATTGTACCGCCAGAATAGTCCAATTCATTGGCAGGCCGCTGCAAACATCGTTGGGTGAAACACACAGGGGTCGTACTTGTCTGCTCGGGATTGGGGGGGGGGGTCGTAGTCGCCTCTGACAGAAATTTGCCGTGTTGGGAAAAAATTTCACGATTGTTGACATTTCGCGTTGTTTTTTCCTGTTTCATGTGTACTACTTACAGGGGGAGGGAAAGACATTCGACCGAGTCACATATCAGCAAAGTTTTCGCAGCCCAGACAGAGGATACGAGTACCAGGGCGGAAGATACCCAAGATGTTCCTCGATAAGCAGGAGCTGGCGCTCGCCCATCACCTTCATGTACACCAAAATATGAAGTCATCTCCAGCCGCAACCTGACTGGAGAAGACCTTCGGAATTCATGTCACCTCCAAAGCTGCGAAACTTCTAGTATGGAGTCACCCATGGATAGCTACCTGGAGACCAGTACTCTCGATCTGGATGACCTCCAACATCGAGCAGCTCAACGTCGCTACGGTCTAGGACATCATCTTCACCTCAGTCGCCAAGGCGCCAGTTGATGGTGGGGACCGGACGTACCTGGAATGGAGAGACCGATATTTTCTTCGTGGGCCCCGGACTAAAGGTGAGCGCTGGCGGTTACATCGAGCAACTCGAGAGAACTCCTGTTCCACATGTCGTCGCCCGTACCTTCTTGGAAACTTTGTACTGTTACAGCATTGAGTGCCACCACATGAAATCGAAGGGCGTTGGAGAAACTCTTGCCTACTTGTAATGGAAGGGCGTTGAGTACCTGAAGAAGGTGGAATATCTAAGCAGGTAACCTGACCTAAACCCCTCAATTACCTGGCTCGGGCGGAGTTCAATAGGGTGGTCTACAGTGGCGGAGAAATCAACGATCTCGCTGAACTCACGCACCCACTGACGGTCGCGTGGCAGAATCTCTCGATGGCGCTCCTCCAGAAGGCTGTGGCGGAGTATCATGATAGTATTTAATATGCTCTTTAATATGGTGGTAGAAATGTCCGATAATAATTTAATAAAGTGTAACTCATAGCCTTCAAAAACACTTTTTCCTTCCTCGCCTCGAAGTCGAGGAAGAAAAAGTCTTTTTTTTGCCCCCCCCCCTTCTGTACACCCCCCTACCGCGTCGCCGGAAAATTTTGAGTGAAAAACTAGACTGGAAAATGTGGGGAATCGGTAGGTAGGTGTTGGGCAAGAGGGGGGGGGGGGCGTACGAGGGAGGTCATACTGGCACCACCATTTCGCACATCACGATGCTGTACCCTGTTTATTGGTGTTCAGTTCTTTCAAACTGAGGGGAAAGCGTCAGTCAGATAAAAAATTATCAAGAGCCTTGGTATGACCTGCACGACAAACTGCAAGCTCATGGGACGGGGCGGGGGCGGGGGGGCGGGCTTTTCCCCCCCCCCCCCCCCCCCATTTGCGCGGCGGGGGGGGCCGCGGGCGCGGGGCGGCGGCCGGGGGGGGGGGGGGCGCGGGCGCGGGCGCGGCGGCCGGGGGCGGGCGCGGGGCGGGGCGGGCGGGCGGGGGCGGGGGCGGGGCGCGGGGGCGGGCGGGGGGACGGCCCTTGTCATGCGCGAGAAGAATGGGTTGACAGCTGTACAAAAGTAGTACCTTCGTCATCTGGGAGAGCACGCAAATGAGCCTGAAGAATAGTGGTACACGGATTCTGTTGGACTCAGCCCGCGTTGAGCTGCGTTCATACTTTGCTGCAGCGTCCACCAGCGACACTAGCGTTCCGAGCGTCAGCAACTAGGAGGGCATAGAAGTCCAGCTAGCGATCAGCAGCGTCTACCAGCGTCCACCAACGACCAGCAGCGTCCTGGAGTGCAGAGCTTAGGGCCATAGGAGGGTCGCGGACGTCTGGTAGAGTATGAGGAGATAGGAGGGTAGCGATTGCTGGTAGAGAGTATGGGGCCGCCCCATACTCTTCGCTCCTAGACGGCGATGCTCGCTGGTGGACGCTGCTAGACGCTGGTAGACGCTGCTGGTCTCTAGATAGATTTCTGTGCCTTAGTAGCTGACGCTGCTGGACGCTCGGAACGCTATGGTCGCTGTTGGAATCTGTCGCGAAGTATGAACACAACCTCGTCCTCCAGGTGCCGCATTTGCGTCGACGCTAAATGTCCCAAACGACACCCGAATATACTATGCTCCAACCCCATTCTTGTGCACTTTGGAACAGAGAAAGTAGCACACTACGCAGTTTGGGAACTGTTCACCCCGCACATTGCAAGGACCAGGATAAACGGAGGTTAATGTGCAGATTGTCTTCAATGAGTTCTCATGGGAACGAAAATTTCTCCTGTTCCCAAAAAGTTTTTTGTAAAGCTTCAACAGAACACTCTGTCAATTGATAATAGAGGAAATTTTCCAGAGCTATCTATTACAGGTGTCCGATCTGATCTCCGCTCTTCGACCACGTCAGTCTGCCTCAACGTCTGTTGCAAGGGCGCTGGACGAGGCGTTGTCGCTGTTCTTCGAATCTCGAACAGGAAGGCGAACGACGGAAGATTATCATTCTAGCGCATGATGGAGTGAACACGGATCTTGTGGCCGAGACATTGGAAGCTGTGTGAGCTTTTGTGTTCAAGAAACCTCTTTGCAATTCAGGTCTTCAGAAATCGAAAATCGGGAGGAAAGCTTTCGACTTGCGATCGACACTCTTAGGATTCGACTTCGCACGCATTCTAGCCCGTTCAGAATTGTGGTCCATTGAATACGATGTGGCCTTCACAATGAGCTGTGGGGCTAGCCAATGGACAAATCGCTGTTTTTATCCTCCTGGACAAATCCACAACCAATTTTTCGTCCCGGGAAGGGAGGAGGAGGGGGGGGTAGAAGGGTTGATTGACCTGGGCGGAAGCCAATCTGGGTTTTGGCCCTTGGCGTGTAGCAGGTGGAATCGTTCCCACTGCACCCCTTCTCTTCTGGATCTCATACTGCACCTGAAGTCGGGTGAAAAACAGATGCCATCTGGTCACGGACCCTTGATCTGTGGTGACGGACCGAGTAATTACTGAACTTTTGCGTCTATCTCGAAGTGGATTGCAAAATTGGATCTGCAAATGAACGAAGGCATAAGTTTAGAGTACCTTTGCAGATCAAATGTGGAGAAACTCGGCGCTGTTATATTCGCAGTGACAGGCAGCTCAAGACCGAATGCATTTGCTTTGCTGGGTTACGCTGGAGCTAGAGATCGCCTGTTCGTTGCAGCAGCTGATCGAAGCAATTTCCAGGAAGCCATGGATGAGGTAACACGAAGTTAGAGAGCGCCTCTAACGTTTTTCTTTGTATTCTCCCCTTCATACCACGTTATCATGAAGGAGAGATGTTTAGAAAGCTTGAAAGAGGGTCCACTGAAATAAATATGTTACAGTGAGTCAATTCTAGGCACTCGGAGTGTGCGAGCCGACATCATCAGTGGTGACCCCAACGTCGAAAAATCGCCGGATACATGGAGTGAGGGCTACTCGTGCCAAAGAGCAGAAGAACCTTTTCATCGCCGGGCAAAAATGCGGCTTCGAAAAGGTGAGCTCCTGCATCAGCTCCGAAAAGGCTGAGTAAAGAGCGGCTTATAGTAAGGGGCACTTTAACAGTTCGCAAGTTCCTTCAGATCTTTCACCTTGATGTGGAATCTGAAGAAACCAGCGAACCTACAAAATGCCCCCTCCAAAAAGCCACTCTTGTAAAGTTGCGAGCGAGGGAAAACTTCGCTGAACTTTGATGACACCCGTGAACCTCTATAACCTTGCGAAGTGGTAGGAACTTCATTATGTACCGTTTTATTAGCTTCACTAGCATTGCACGCTTCACATCTCCTCATATCGATAGGAACTAGTGGTCCCCCTAAGCCGAACAACAGTAGAAGAAAGGATAAGGAGTGCAGGCAAAGTTACGGTGGTCTGAGCTCGTCGTCTATGGTCACAACATAGACATTCGACTAAACAGAACATGTTCCTTTCTTCCCCTCAACTTTTCGTCCTCTACCCATATTCATCCTTTGCAAGTGTTTTGAGAATTTCTCTTGTGCATTCTGCACTCGAGCAGAAGCGTTGTAGCTAAAATGCTAACGAATTGCCAACAAAATATGTACTAATGACGCAAGCTAAAAATTGCTTTTTTTCAATGCGCGTGAAACGCCCCATCCCAAAATGTGTTTTATAATCAGAACAAAATCCACTCTCTTTGTTGGAGGAAGAGATCTTGACAAGAGGTTTCAACTTTCCTCTCGTTACTACTATTTTTCTGAATACCCGTCCGAAGGTCTGAATCACCTTTGCAGGTTGATCTCACGCTCGTACTTGATACTTCCGGCTCAGTCTTCAGAGTGTTCGAAGATCAACGTGAAATCGCTTTGAACATTCTGGACGAGATACCTATGGGCGCATACTCGGACGCTGTACAGGTATGCCTACAGTCCTGCGGTTTATCCAGTTACAGTTATTAAATGGATAAAGAGTCAGTCAAACAAGCAGTGGAATATTCAGGTGTCAGTGACTCGATTTGCTGCTGGCGCTGATGTGATTCTGCCATTTCTGAAAGGAAGAGCTCTGTCGGAGATCAAGGATGCTGTGAAAGAAGTGAAATTCACCGGACAGAATACGAGAATTGCCAGCGCTGTCGAAATAGCCCTTGACGAGATGGAACGTGCTAAACGACCAGATGCTAGACAGGTATGGTTCGAAGAAGGTCCATTGCTCCTGTCATTCCTGTGAGTCTCTTTTCTGAGACAAAAAATTTTGGCGTTGTTTGGCTTGGGAGAGGCATCTTGCACTTTCGCTAGTTCCTTTTGCCGATTCATGTCAACTGACAGGTAGTATTTCGGTGGAACCTGTAAACTTCTGTGAAGTTGCAAAATGAAACAATTGAGTCACTTTGATTGCAAGAATTTACAGGTCCTCACAAGGTGGTGGTCCTGTTGCTGAGTACCATTTGGTGCCTCACCAAGACGAACTCCGCCAAATATTCATTGAAAAACTTCTAGCGAAGGCTTATGTCACATTTTTGAAAAGCTCATCTATGCATATTATTTCTGAATTGTTAGGATCCTTGATGTGAGGTAACCTGGAGCTTGAATATGATTTTGGTTTGCAGGTTTTCGTGTTGATTTCCGACGGCCATGGTCAAGAATACTGGAATGTTGTACAAGCCACAGGAAAACGTTTACAGGTATAGCAGACATTCTTCCCACAATTCGACAATCTTTTCGCACGCACTCATTTTTTTCGCGTACGCTTTTTTTGGCGGAGGATCCGCCAGAAAAAGCGTACAGGTTAAAAGTGGCGCCCCTACCACTCGTGCGGTCCTGGGTTCAAATCCCGGATCGCCTCCACCCATGCCAACAGGCCCTCTACTTCCCCTCCCCCGGGACGGAAGAGTGGCACCAGATTGGTCTGAGGGGATAAGAACACTGACTTGTACATCGGCTGGCCCCGCAAGTCATTGTATAGGCCACATCGCATTCAATAAGCCACTACGATTCTGAATGGAAGTAGAATGCGTGCCGCATCCCACAAAGGGCTTGATCAACGGCGAGGACTTCGTCCTTGTATTACCTTTTTTCTGATCGGGAAATAATCTCTTGGAACACTGGGAGCTACCTAAATTGTAGCAAGTACTTTTGTGAGCGAGAAACAAGAGCGCGCCTGAAAGTAACCCATCCCTGTTCAGGGTGCTTCAGTCAGTTCACCGCAGTTTTGAGTGCCCCATTCGACCCATTCTGCAGGCTTACAGACTAAGATGTTTCCCTCGAAAGAGTGCAATATGTAGCACGGGATAAGCTGCAAAGGGTAAAAGACTAGCTTCACTAACAGTGGATCAGAGCCAAAATTCTCGGGTTAGGCGTGTCATCGCTACTCCAAGTGCCGCTGCACTTCTACCCCACAGTATTAGAAACAAATTCAGGCTGCCTCCTTTCAGGAAACAAGAGCTGAGTTGTTCGCCGTGTCAGCCAGTCAAGACTATAATGAGGCTGAATTGTTGATTTATGTAGGAGATAAAAGCCGTGTATTCGTCGGAGAGAAGTACAAAAGGTGCGTCCAGGAAATGTCCACGAGTATTGCAGCTCTTCACAGAAAACAGTGATCAGTAGAAAACATACAAAAATCAACTTTAGTGAAGTATTTCGTTGTCAATTGAAATTTTATCACCAGTTACGAAAAAACAAATTCCTTTTCTTACACCGTAGAATTTCAATGATAAATCGGAGTAATGCAAAATTTTAGCACTACTAAAAACCGACTGTGTCTCTTCAGGTTCTTGTCCACAATCTCATCATACATGAAGGATTGCATCTTAAAAGGCGAGGCAGCCTACTGCAACTGTGTTTTCTGGGAAGAACTCTTTGGTGAGTCATTTTTCCATCGCTTTTTTAGAATCTCCCTTTGTAGCACATGTGCTGCATGAGTTTTCTAAATCAGCATACTCAGCTAGTTGTAGCTCATAACCTTGCCCTGTTCCTTGTGCTTTGGCTTTTAGAACTCGAGTTCTTTCACTGCGGCGTTTAGAAGTCCATTCAATCTCGTGTAGTTCATTCGAAAAGTGCATTTCAGGATTTCTCTACGACTGAAGAAAGCCCACTGGCAGATAAGATAGCGAAAGTTCCGAAGACTCCGTGGAAGAGAAGGAGGTGACATTAGCAAATGGAAAAAATGTCTTAGCGGATGCTGTGGTGTCGACTACCGAGGGAGCTGCCGTCGTGGATACTTCTTCAACGTCACCAGCCGAGAAACCCTCGTCTGATGCCGTAGAAAACGCTCTCTCGACTACTGAAGAGAGTCCAACTGAAAATGAATCGACGACAACAGGTGGGCTCATCACCATAAGATTTTTTAAGGCATCCACATCCACACTTTATGAAAATAAAGCCATCGCGGATAGAAAAAATCTTACTGGCTTAAATGCTTTCATTTGAATTCTTTGTGGTTCGGTCGGTCTTCATGAACTACTGAGTGTGGGAGAAATCAAAAACTGACTAATCTAGGATAGTCATTGTATATGAACCATGTAGAGTCACTAGGGCAGAGCCAATACAAATTCAGGGGAGCGGAAGTTCCAGTTTTCAATTTCTGTAACACAGCGGAAATTCTGGACAGTTTAGACTCAACTATTAGATGCTGCAGTGTCCAATGTGCTCCTCATGTAACTCCGTTTTAAACATTTAAGAATTCCCTGGTTTCCCATATTTTGCACAATTTGTGAGAATGCGATGGTGGTTGCTGTGGTTCGCGGAGGCGTAGTTCGATTTGAAGGGGGCAACGAATGATACTTAGCTAAACCTCCTCCTAGTACAGCCCACCTCGTGGAGACCTGAAAATGCCTTTACCAAATTGGCTCACTCGCACCATTTTACAGATTCAGCTGGTAACTGGTTCCAGTTGGTGACAGTTCTCACCGAATGAACCCCTTACTCTACATGAACTATGAAAAGGAACTAACAAAACGAGCTAACGGAAGTGCATAAAGGCTCTCCAAGCCGCACAACCGGCTGTGAAGGGGCCACCCAATACGGATGGCTAGATGGGCTAACGG